GCAACACAGAGAAGACAAGTGGTGATTTTACAGCATCTTACTACGCAGATGGACAGTGACTGTGAAGGGGTATGTGGGGGGGACTTGGTGAAGGGGGGAGCCTAGTAAACATAATGTTCTTCATGTAATTGTAGATTAATGATAAAAAAAAAACTTTCCAATTGGTCTACTTCAAATGTGTGGAGTTCAATAAAACTACTCCACAAATTGAAATTAAAAACAAAAAGGGACTTGACGGGGCCCATGCAAGTGAAGGGTCCTGAAGCACAGACGTCATTGCCCCACATAGTGAATCCCCCTCTTCCCCACTGGAAGGCAGGCAATTAAAGCCATTCACCTCACAAGGAAACTGAAGTCACAAACCTCACCCAGATGGTGCACAAGCAGATCTAGGACCCACTGGCCAGGTTGAATCCTGACTCAGCCACAGCAAGTGGCACCAAGTGGCTGGCCCAAAGAAGAACCTCAGTCAGGGGACATGGAAGGCAGCAGGGAGGCCCTGTCTAGCCTACGACTGGCTGAGACCCTCACTGCAGACATCACAGATGACCAACCCCTGTGCAAGGAGCCCCAGGGCTTGAAGACAGAGCCCCAGCCAGCCCCACTCCCTCTGCTCTCTCCTACCGGGCTCAGGAGCTCTGCTACCAGATGGGCCCATCTTGGCCCTGGGCAAGAAGAGGCCAGCCGTGGGGCCCCAGAAGCCCAGCCCATGGGGGCTAGGCTGGCCCAGGCTCTCTGCCCTTTTACAAGGTGTGCTTCTTCCCCTCCCTTTCTCTGCAGCTGTGTCCTCCTCTCCCTTGCTGGCTCCCCTAGACTACGGTTCTCTCTGGTCTCACTCTGCTTCCCAGAGGTGATGCCAGGAGGTGAGAATCCCCCCAGGCGGCAGTTGAGTGCTGGGCTTCTGTGCGCGTGCTGAGTCAGGAGGGACCAAACAGTTTCCCTCCTACCATCAGGGGCGCTTCAGACATCAGCCCGGTCACTTACCTGCCTCCAGGCCCGTGGGCATCTACCCTGGCTTTCTGCCTCACAGGGGCTGGGCTTCCTTTTACTCCTGTAATCATAGCAGTGATAGTGAGCATTACTGAGCACTCATGTGGCCAGATGCACACTTTACTTGCATGGGACGCCATGCAAACGCAGCATGTATACCTATCATGACAGCCGGTGCCTCCCCCCTCCATCCTCCCAATGGCCCTATGCGTCCGTTCAAGCATCTTCACTCGACACACAGGGAAATCAAGGTACAGAGAGGTTTAGAAAGCTGTTCAGGGTCACAGAGCACTAAGTGGCTGAGATTCAAGTCCATGCAGTCTGGTTCTAGAACCTACCTCTTCACTGTTGCGCAGCATGACTTCTCTTTAACACAGGATTGAGGGCCTTCCCTCTCAGAAGCAGGGGCTGCACCAGGTGACCCCAGAGGCTCTGTCTAGCCTAAGGAAGAAGAAACTGTGGCCCAGGGAAGGGAAGGGATTATTCAAACCGCATAGTTTGTTAGTGTTCCAGGTGCCACAAGGACATACATCTCTAAGTCTTCAGAGCTATTTACACAATGGCTGCTTTTCCCATGGCTGTCCTCCCCAGCTGGGCTGGGAGTTTCTCTAAAGGCACTATTCCGCTCCCCCTCTCTGGATCGATCCCGATTCTCTAGGTCTCTGCATGAAGGACAATCCTGGTCATGTCTGACTGCCCCTCACCCTGACCCAGGTCCTAGGGAGAAACAACTACTTAGACCCAAGAGCCTGCCCACCCGCTTTCAGTCTCTCATGGACTGTGGTCCCCAGAGCTGACTGAAGCCTGTGTGTCCTGGATGCCCACAGTATGGGGTAGAAGCAGAGAAGTGGGAGCATGTGCCCACAGGTAAAGCCCCAAAACCACAGTGAAGACCAGCAAAGAAGAGCAGTAGCAGCAAGAAACTAGTAGAAAATCCAGGTGAGTTGGTGAGAAGAGACCTGTAGCCTGCCCCAGCCCTGCCGCCAGCTGCCCATCTCCAGGCCTTCTCCCCCAAGGGGCTGATCACATGCTGGGGCAGCAGGGGCCGGTCCAGACCTCAGAGGCTGGCTTGACAGCTGGGCATTGCAGGGTGGCAGGTGGTCTTGGCCAATCCCAGAGAGGGCCTGGGTGGGGCTGGGAAGGATGCCCCCACCAGGCTGTGGCCCATCTGTCAGAGGACATGTGTCCAACAGCCCCTGGCTCACATCCAGGGCCCCACCCACCATGGGTGAGGCCTGCAGATGGAGAAAGGGGAGCCCTGGCTAGGGCACAGGCTGAGGGGAGGGCATTCCCAAAGCAGGGGCCACACAGAGCCACCACCTCTGCCGCCTGACCCTACACCCAGCGTCACACACCCTGCCAGCCACCTCGGGCTTTTCCGCAGTCATACATTACTACTAAAATTGCTATCCTATCAGCAAAATCCTGTCTGGGACAGGTCATTTCTGCAGTTCATTTCCTCTGTAATGATTCCCCTCTGTACCAGCTTCTCTCTGGACTATAAACATATTAAATTGCATGAAGTGAGTAAAGCCCCTGCCACTTACAGGAAGGCCAATACAATCAGTAATTAGGGTTAACAGCATGAATAAGTCCTGTTATAACTAATGCTATTCTTTTTCAAATCTGGAAGAGGCTGAGAACCCCAGGGCACAAGCCTCCCCACCCGAGAGGAACCAGAGCTTTGGGTCACCGGAGCCCCTTTATGTGAGTGCTCCACATCACCCCTGCAGGCTGGGACCCCGAGATTAGGCCAGAGCACCCTGCCCAACCAGCCCTCATCCTGATGGCCCGCTGAAGCTATCAACACCTGCAGCTGCAGGAGGAGGATATTTCTGGAGAAGA